AGGGGGGGTGGGGGGTGAAATTCCGATCATGTTGGTCTAACTCCAGGCAGGGTGAACTCGGCCAGACATCCAATGTGTGTCAGTCGGCAGTCCGTGTGGGCACCATCATGGGCACCATCATGGGCACCATCATGGGCACCATCATGGGCACCATCATGGGGCACCATCATGGGGCACCATCATGGGCACCATCATGGGCACCATCATGGGCACCATCATGGGCACCATCATGGGCACCATCATGGGCACCATCATGGGCACCATCAAGGGCACCATCATGGGGCACCATCATGGGGCACCATCATGGGCACCATCATGGGCACCATCATGGGCACCATCATGGGCACCATCAAGGGCACCATCATGGGCACCATCAAGGGCACCATCATGGGGCACCATCATGGGGCACCATCATGGGCACCATCATGGGCACCATCATGGGCACCATCATGGGCACCATCATGGGCACCATCATGGGCACCATCATGGGCACCATCAAGGGCACCATCATGGGGCACCATCATGGGGCACCATCATGGGCACCATCATGGGCACCATCATGGGCACCATCATGGGCACCATCATGGGCACCATCATGGGCACCATCATGGGCACCATCAAGGGCACCATCATGGGCACCATCAAGGGCACCATCATGGGCACCATCATGGGCACCATCATGGGCACCATCATGGGCACCATCAAGGGCACCATCATGGGCACCATCAAGGGCACCATCATGGGGCACCATCATGGGGCACCATCATGGGCACCATCATGGGCACCATCATGGGCACCATCATGGGCACCATCATGGGCACCATCATGGGCACCATCATGGGCACCATCATGGGCACCATCAAGGGCACCATCATGGGGCACCATCATGGGGCACCATCATGGGCACCATCATGGGCACCATCATGGGCACCATCATGGGCACCATCATGGGCACCATCATGGGCACCATCATGGGCACCATCAAGGGCACCATCATGGGGCACCATCATGGGCACCATCAAGGGCACCATCATGGGGCACCATCATGGGGCACCATCATGGGCACCATCATGGGCACCATCATGGGCACCATCATGGGCACCATCAAGGGCACCATCATGGGGCACCATCATGGGGCACCATCATGGGCACCATCATGGGCACCATCATGGGCACCATCATGGGCACCATCATGGGGCACCATCCGCATATCCTCCACTCCCCTTCGTCCCATCCCACCAGCCCTCCCTCTCCCATGTGTGCATGGCATGCCCTGGCGGTGCATCCCCCATCCCCCAGCCGCCCTTTGGCTACACGCGGCTGGACGTGATTCTCATCGGCGTCGGCATCACCGTGGCTGGGGTCGCCCTCAAGTACGGCCTCGAGGTGAGATTCACTCCACATCCACACTCTCGAGGGCTCGAGGTGAGGAGGGCTCGAGGTGAGGAGGCTCGAGGTGAGGAGGCCTCAAGGTGAGGAGGCCTCGAGGTGAGGAGGGCTCGAGGTGAGGAGGGCTCGAGGTGAGGAGGGCTCGAGGTGAGGAGGGCTCGAAGTGAGGAGGGCTCGAGGTGAGAATCACTCCTCTCACTCCTCTCATCTCACTCCTCTCACTCCTCTCACTCCTCTCACTCCTCTCACTCCTCTCACTCCTCTCACTCCTCTCACTCCTCTCACTCCTCTCACTCCTCTCCCTCCTCCCACTCCTCTCGCTCCTCTCGCTCCTCTCGTTCCTCCCACTCCTCTCGCTCCTCTCGCTCCTCTCACTCCTTGGGACGTGATGCTGGGAGTCGCAGGGCCTGAGCAATCCGCATTTCCCCTCCCCCTTCCCCCCTGGTGGTCAGCTGGCGGGGTTTGACTCGTTCCAGTCGGGCAGTGTGGTGCAGCTGGTGTTCGTGTTGGGGCTGTGCCTGGTGTGGGCGGCCAGCTATGTGTGGCGGGTGGGCAACAAGGAGATGACGTATGTCAAGCAGCTCAAGGACTACGAGGACGCTGTTATGAAGGTCCGTCATGCACAGGCATGCCGCTGCGCACCCTCCCATCAACCATTCCTATCAACCATTCCGATCACCCCTTCCTTTCATCCATTCCCATCACCCATTCCCATCATTCCTTCCCATCACCCATTCCCACCCATTCCCATCACCCATTCCCATCAACCATTCCCATCACCCATTCCCATCACCCATCTCATCACCCGTATCGACCAACCTGATTGATTCACCCTTTTTAATGACCAATTTGGCCATCCATTTCTGTTACCCACCCTGTCACTCATTTCAATCTCTCATCTCTTTCCCCCGTACACCACACCACCATGGCACGGCGGGGGGTGGGGTGGGGGCTCGCAGAAGCGGCTGGAGGCGATGCCGGAGGCGGAGCTGGAGGCCATGCTGGCGCAGGTGGAGGAGGAGAAGGACCGCCTGCGCCAAGCCAGGGGCAAGGGCAAGGCCGACGCTGACGCCAAGTAGTGACACTCCATTCCACCATTGCCTGCTGCTCATTGAAGGCCTTTGCGCTGAACATGCATGCATGCGGGACGCTAGGTAGTATTGTGGACTTATAGCTGTTCACTGCCGCTAGTTACTAACCGCGATAAACATCGGGAATATGTGATCACTAGAGGATATACCAGAAAGCTTGGTACGGCTCAACGTTTTTGTTAAGATAGTGGGCCATTTTTTAGGAGAGTAGCAAGGTGAGTGGTTGGATTGATGAAGAGTGCCGAAAAGTACAAGAGGAAAACCTAAAGCTACAGTACTCTCCAAGGAGTGCCCCACTACAGCCTAGCAAGCACCATATAAATATACGTTCTGACACACTCCCATAAGCGAAGTGGGGGACAACAAGCGGTCATAAGACCAGTCGAGAAAAGCAAACAAGCAAAGCTCGGGGTGGACCACGAAGTCACCACACAGCCCGAGCGAGCATAAACAAAGAGTCACAAGGCCAGTTTACATGCAGAGTTATACCGTCAATCGCCCGGATATGACATATGGGATTTAGATTTATCCTATATCGGTTCTGTTACAAATACCATAGCAATGAATGAAGACTACAGTGCACTCCCGACCGCAGCTAAGGAAGCATGCAGTATCGAGAACGAATGCGAAGAGTCAGAATTGACTCGAAGCGTCAGACAGTTGGGACGCATCTGGACCGTCGGAGCAGACGGCATCGGGCAGCTGCAGGCAGGAGGGTTTTGGCGGGAACAGTTTCGTAACTGTACGCGCCGCACGGTTGAGAATGCGTTTGAATAAGGGAATGTACCCCTTAGAGTACATGGCTAGCTAGGTCGATTCGTCTTCCCTGTACTCATATTTATATTTGCTGTATTTGCATGTTCTAATCATCTCAAGCATTTTACATTCACTCTGCTATTGAGGTCGAAGGCCCACCTAGTCTATCTACCTGCGTGCGAACCTTCCCGAGTAGATCCTGGTAGCGATCACCTTCTGATCGTAGCATGGTATGAGAGCGGCTCGGGAATCCTTCGCACTGCCACTCCCAAAAATTACCGTCATCGCCCGGATATAAGACATATATGTCTTATCTCGTACACGGGCAAAAATGCTTGAGTTATCTTGTAAACGGGATGGTTTAGGGTGTCTTATAAGTCTTATAAATGGAAACTTTTTAAACTACTTAGAAATATTTTCCGTACTTCTTGAAAAAGAGTTCCTCATAATGAGTGTGGATGTTGCGAAGGTGCCACTTCGGCAACCACTGCCCGGTAGGGCTTGCTTTATCAGAAATTTTTGGTCTGAATTTCTGGATTTTGCACACATTTTTACTAGTTCGTCTGATGCCGTAGACAAGCTATTTTATGTGATCTGATTTTTAAGAGAAGTTTTTTTTTATTCGTCTGATTTGTCAGACAGCCTTATACGGTTCGTCTGAGACTGCAAACATCGAGTTTTTTCTCGTCTGAAACAGACAAATTCCCCCACCTGGCCAGTTGCCCACCCGGTTAGTTGGCTACATGGCTTGTTGCCCAATGTTGCGGACGAGACTTGCCACCCGCCGCGTTACCCTGGTCGGTGACAACACCGCACGTCACTGCGCCGCATTCACCGCGCTGGCACGAATCTTGCCAGTTCGTTTGGCATATTCCGTCTGACAGCTCTGACAAGTACTTGAAATTCGTCTGAAACGTAAGACTAAGCTACAACTTTCGTCTGACCATCAGACAAGGAACCAGGACCCGGTCTTAACGTCAGACGGGCCCTGGCACTAAAGTTAGCCCTGCTGCCCGGGACGCCACGTCATGGAGAACACCTGCAGAGGCAAATTTGGTAGGTCCTGGGTCAGCGCGTGGAAGAATTCGCGCTTCGCAAGGGTAAAAATGTACGCGGTATTTCAACTTTCGCTATAATATATTGAAGTTTCAATGATAAGACATATATGTTTTATCTCGTACACACAAATATGTGTCTTATAATGAGGCTAGCCTGTTTATAAGAGACACCCGTATAGTAGACAACCCCTGTCTACTATTCAACACTGTCTTATATCCGGGCGATGACGGTACGACATTCGGAAAGTGGCGTCCGGCACACGCTCGCGTGTGAGAATGGCCGGAGGATCTGGTGGTCAGACTAATCTGACGGCTGAAGCGCAACCCAACCCGGCTGCGACAAGCGAGGAAACGACGACGATCGGCACCGAAGTCCTCGCACAACTTCTTCAGCGACACACCTGTTAGTATACTAGGCAAGAGTGAATCGACTATTGAGAGGGTTGGTACAAAGAGAAAACCCTAAGGGGTTATACCCCACAAAGTCTACCCCACTACAGCCTACCCACAAATATAACATATACATATTTTGACACACCCCCATAGGCAAAGTGGGGGAGAGCCAGAGGTCACAAGACCAGTCAAGAAAAGCAAAGCAAGCTCAGGGTGGATCACAACGTCACCACACACTCTGAGCACAAGCAAAGGGCCACAAGGCCAGTTCACATGCAGAGATATATAAGCAACAAGAACCGTACAGTGATGACTACCTAGCAAGAGCCAGCAAGCAGGTATATATATAGATCACAGTACAAGCAAGGACTACAGCAAGTGTGGAAACGTAGGTACAAAAGCGCTGATGATCACCAGACGGAAGTGCCTTGGTGAATATATCAGCAGTGTTGGCCCGAGTGGCCACGTGACGAAGACGAAGCTGACCTCGCTGCTGTAACTCTCGAGCCAGGAAGTAACGCAGAGCGATGTGCTTTGTTCTGTGCTCCAGTATGTGCTCCTCACACAAGGCAATGGCTGCCTTGTTGTCAACGTACAGAATTGGAGGAGAACGAGGCCGCTCACCCAGGTCAGTCAGCAGGTAGGTGAGCCAGCGTACCTCCTGTGCAGCCATGGCGGTGGCGTAGATCTCAGCCTCACAACTGGAGCTGAGAACAGAAGATGAGCATGTAGACCGCCAAGAAACAGAAGCAAAGCCAAGGCTGAAGGTGTAACCCTGCGACGACCGCTGTGTAGTCTGGTCGTCAACCCAAGACGCGTCTGAGTGCCCAGTGAGGACCACCTCACTCCGTCCTCCAAGCACGAGCCCCATGCCTGATGTACTGCACAGGTAGCGCAACACCCTCTTGGCAGCATCCATGTGTACATTTCGATGCCTGCCAGGAGCCACGTAACGAGCCAAAAGGCCAAGAGGGTATGCGAGGTCAGGTCGAGTGCAGGTCATCAGGTACATGAGGCAGCCAACAAGCTCTGGGTAGGGACCACTCGGCACTACGGACTCGTCCGAAGGTGGAGCTGAGAGCGAGTGACCTGTAGCCAGAGGAGTGGCCTGTGGGGAGGACCAGGAGAAGCCGAAGCGCTGAAGGACCTGCTGCACCATGTGTGACTGAGTCAGTGTGATGGTGCGGCGTGCTCTGTCCCGGGTGATCTGCAAGCCAAGGTAGCTGCGCAGCTCACCCAGGTCTGTGCACGTGTGTCTCTTCCGCAGCTCCGACTTCACCTGAGCGAGAGCCTCAGTGTCAGCAGTGGCAAAGACCAAGTCGTCGACGTACACGAGGATGTAGAACGACGGCAACGAAGTGTCGGTGCGCAGGAACAGCGACGGGTCAGCAGTCGAAGGAGCGAACCCAAGAGCCGCAAGCATCGTTCTCAGTGTGTCGTGCCACCCACGAGGCACCTGGCGGAGACCGTAGACTGGCCGCCGGAGACTCTACTGGTTACCAGGAGGAAACGACCCAGTGAAGCCAGGTGGGCGGCGCAGCAAGATCTCCTCGTGCAGGCTGCCCTGTAAGAAGGCTGTGCTGAAGTCAAGTGAGTGAAGCTCGTAGTCACGCTGAGCGGCAACGTGCAGCAGCACCCGAAGAGTGGTCATCTTCGGGGTGGGGGAGAAGGTCTGGAAGAAGTCTACTCCATCACGCTGACTAAAGCCTCGAGCAACGTAACGAGCCTTGAAGACAGGCGGAGAACCCGGCGGCCGCTTCACCCTGAAAATCCATATGCCATCGACCATGTTCGCCCCAGGAGGGGGAACCTCATCAACGTAAGTGCCTGTGGACTTCCAGGATGCCATCTCTGCGTCCATGGCTGTCTGCCACTGAGAGGAGTACTCACCCGCGATCGCCTCAGCGTAAGAGCGCGGGGTGGGGATGTCTGGTGCATCCGGGTCTCCCTCAGGGGCAAGCAGCATGGCCATGAGATGAGGCGCAGCGGCTGCAAGACACTCAAGGTCCTCGTGCCTGTCCTCAAGGACGTCCGTGCTAAGAGCACACTCACCCCCGACGGACGGTGGACAGACAGACTCAGACTCAGCAACAAGACTAGCGGCGTAGTCTAGACGACAGGCAGCAGCAAAGTCAACAAGCTCAGCAACCAAGGCAGACGCAGCAGTGGACTCAAACGACGGGTCAGTAACAACAGTGGCTAACAGACGCGTGACAGTAGGGTGCTCAGCACGAAACCGGTCAGACTCAGGGTCCGGAACGTCAGGCAGAGAGGACGGAGGGAGAGACGGCAGAGGAACAGGCTGCAGAGCAGAGGAAGGACGACGGACTACGAGGTGTGTGCTGGGGACAGCCGGCTGACGCGAACGAGGAACACGACGACCAGTACGACCAGGACGAACAGGCGAGACTGGACGCGACGCAGGCTCACGACGCTTAGCAAGACTACCTGCCTGCTCCGTGTAAGGAGAAGGAGCAGGCAGCGGTGAGCCAGGCTGTAATGGAAGACCAGTAGACGACGGGAGAGTAAGAACCTGACGAAGAACAGAGTCAGGCGGCGGCAGAGACGACGGAGACGGCGGAGTGAAGAAAAGTCGCGTCGGTGCAGTGGAACCAGCACCAGTAGCTCCAGCCCCTCCAGCAGCTCCAGTACCCCCAGCAGCGCCAGAACCTCCAGCGCCAGCACCTCCAGGACCAGCTCCACCAGCAGCAGCACCCCCAGAACCAGCACCTCCAGTCCCAGGGTCTCCAGCCGCAGTGTCTCCAGCAGTAGCACCCCCAGAACCGGCACCCCCAGTCCCAGGGTCTCCAGCCTCAGTGTCTCCAGTAGCAGCACCCCCAGAACCGGCACCTCTAGTCCCAGGGTCTCCAGCCTCAGTGTCTCCAGCAGCAACACCCCCAGACGCAGCACCTCCAGCCCCAGCAGCTCCAGTACCTCCAGTACGAGCACCTCCGGGACCAGCGACTCCAGCACCTCCAGTAGACAAAGTCCCAGCTCCACTCCGAGCTCCAGTGACGACAGCAGAAGTACCTCCACGAGCGCTAGGAGCGCGACCCTGACGGCGACCGTACCAGTCGTGCAGCTGCTGTGAGGTGAGAGGTGTACGCGGACGTAGGCGACTACTCCAAGGAGACCGCGCAGAAGTAGGCGCAGTGCCCTCAGGCGCTGCACCGTCAGACTCAGCACCCCCAGGCTCCGCACGTGCAGGCGCAGCACCCTCAGACGTGGTACTCTCAGGCGCAGTACCTCCAGGCTCCTCACGCGTAGGCTCAGTACCCTCAGACTCGGCACCCCCAAGCTCAGCACCTCCAGGCTCCTCACGCGCAGGCACAGCACCCCCAGACTCCGCACCCCCAGGCTCAGCACCTCCAGACCCCTCTCGCTCAGGCTCCGCACCGCCAGGCTCAGCACCCCCAGAGATAGCACCCCGAGCAGGACCACCTACAGCAGGACCTGAGTCACCAGTGACCTCAACAGGCGCAGGTACCGGAGGGTCTACCTGAGAAACACCTGAAGGAGCAGGACCTGGCGCGGGGAGGGGGTCTACCTGGGAGGCGACGTCCTGAGACGCAAAGACACGGCGCGAGGTGGGGTCGTAAAACTGCCAGCCAGGCGCGTCAGGAGGAAAACCAAGGAAGACGCAGGGAATGGCGCGAGCAGAGAGCTTGTACGCGGCGAGATCACGGACAAAGGCACAAGCACCCCAGACCCGGAAACGCGACGCATCGCCAACCTCCCCCGTCCACAGCAGCGTGGGCGAGGTCTCCGGCAAGGAGACACGGGGCCAGAGGTTGAGCTGATGCGCGGCGTACCGGACCGCAAATGGCCACAGAAAATGAAGAGCCGCCGCATGGATCATGGAGGTACGAGCGACCTCCATGACTAAGCCAATGCGGCGCTCAGCAACCCCATTCTGCTGCGGAGAGGCCGGAAGCGTGCGTGACTGGGTGATGCCGTGCTCCGCACAGAAGGCTGCCAAGAGGTCGGAGGAGAACTCACCACCTCTGTCAGAGTGCAGACGCAGGACAAGATGTCCGACTCGAACCGCTCGCGGAGCTGGAGACGCACAGCGCGGATCCAAGGGATCAGGACAGCAGGGACATCCGCCTTGCGTCACAAGGGGAAGACCGTGGTGTAACGCGTGTAGTCGTCAACAACCAGCAGGAAGTACCGCTCGCGGCCCAGACTTTGGACGGGGGCTGGGCCCCACACGTCCAGGTGGAGAGTCTGCAGCGGAGCCTCTGTGGGAGGGAACGAGGAGGAGTGAGGAGCGGCGCGCTGCCGCCCCTCGACGCAAGGAATGCAGGGCGGCGCAGGCGAGGGAGGGAGGGCAGGCAGAGACCTGGGAAGACCAGTGATCAGGGAGCGAGAGTGCATGCTACGCAGGCGAGGCAAGGAGGGGTGACCAAGGCGGTGGTGCCACAGGAGAGTGTCGTGCGACAGGCGGCGACACTCACACTGGGTAGCTACCTGAGCAGACGCGTACAGCTGCGGAGACAAAGGGGCGTGACGCGACACAGCGGTGAGGGTGTACAGACTGGACCCAGGCGCACGTGTGAACGTGGCCAGGTGGCGGCCGGTCCGAGAGCACGTGCAGTGTGTCACCCGCTGTCCTCCAGGAGTAAAGGTGTCAACCCAGTGATCCTGAAGGACGGCGGTGCTCACCAGGTTCGTAGAGAACGAGGGGAGGTGGAGACCTGTCATCTCACCGGACGGGACTGCCGGACAGGGAAGCACAGTAGTGGACCGTGCAAGCACTGGGCCCCCAGAGGGGTCAGCCAGTGAGACAGGGACAGGTGCAGGGAGGGGAGTGACGGTGGTGCTATCGCGAAAGAAACAGCGGGAAGCACCAGAGTCAAGTGTAAACGTGTGCAAGGCCTGAGCCGACGCAGTACCAGGGGGAGCAGACTCACTAGCACCTAGGGCTGCAGCCCCTATACCGGGGTCAATACCAGGGTCAGGCGGCACACACAAGTAGCAGTCACCCTCAGCACTAACAATCAATGCATACATGGCAGCAAGAATAGCATCATAGTCAAGATCAAAGATAGGAACACCACGCCTAAGCAGATCTGCCCAGTTGGGGAACTCAGTTGCCGTAGGAAACTTGACGCGCCAGGCGTCACTAAGCCTAGCAAAGCAGCGATACTCAGTGTGCGGACCATTGCAAGGGCAGCCAGTACGGGGACCTGCTCGAATGATGTAGGTGCAGGGAACCAAACCCCCAGACGCCCCACGCCCAGCATACCAGTCATGGAGCTGCTGGGACGAGGGGGGCTGGTGTTGGTGCTGCTGCTGCTGCTGCTGCTGTCCCTGGCCACCGCCGCTGCCACCACCACCGGCTCCTCCCCCACCACCGCCGCTGCCACCGCCACTGCCTCCGGTACCGCCACCCCAACCACCACCTCCACCCCCCACGACCACCCCCACCACCTCCACCTCCCCCGCCGCCTCCACCACCGCCCCCTCCACCGCCACCTCCACCACCCCTGCCGCCCCTGCTTCCCTTGGGGCCGCTGCGCTTCCCACCAGGAGCAGAAGCAGCTGCGACCTTCTGAGCACCAAGAAAGTTGACAGCAGCAACAGCAGAGGCGTGGGAGGGGGTAAGGGGGGAGGGGGAGCATCCCTCAAAGAGGGGAGTGCGAGGAGTGCCACGAGCCGCATGGTCTTCTCAGCTGCGAGAAGCTGCGTCGCGAAGTCGTCGACGGAGAGAGCGGTAGGATCTAGAGCGAGGAAGCGGTCCCTGACCGAGCGAAGCGTGTCAGGGAGGCGGGTGACAATGAAGTAAAGCGTAAAGTACATCGGAGGGGTGTTCTTGGCGAGGAACTCGTCCTTAAGGGCGGACCGACAGCGAGCGTCACTAGCGCGCAGGTGAGCGATGAGGTCCTCAGCAGTGTCAAAGGAGGACAGGTCGGAGAACAGGTAGGGTAGCATGAGACGACCTAGGGCTGCAGTGGCCGGGGAGGAGTAGCGCGCAACTACAGCGTCATACAGCGCCTTAGCAGTCTTGTGCTGGCCAAAATGCGCGTGCTCGGGGATCGGCAGGTGATTGCGAATAGCGAGGCGTGCAGCAGCATCGCGAGTCTGCCACTGTGAGCGGTCGAGCGCAGAAGCATCAGCAGCAGGTTCAGGGGCAGTGCCAGACGCGTGGGCAAACGAGGAAACGCCGTCTTTGGCATCCGTCATAAGGAACAGTTGGAGATCGTCGAGCCATACTGTGAACTCGATCGGGCTACCGTCAGGCTCAAACGCGAGAATATGAGGCGTCGTCATAGTCGTAGTGCAGAGAACTGCAGTAGGAACCGGCAGTAGGCGCAGGCAGCAGACTTAGGCAGGCAGGCAAGCGCGCAAGCTAGGCAGGCGCACTCTTGGCAGGCAGACACAAGGCAGGCAGGCGTGCAAGGCAGGCAGACGCTCAAGACAGGCAGGCGCTCAAGGCAGGCAGGCGCTCAAGGCAGGCAGGCGCTCAAGGCAGGCAGGCGCTCAAGGCAGGCAGGCGCTCAAGGCAGACACGTGCTTAAGGCAGGCAGGCGCTTAAGGCAGACACGTGCTTAAGGCAGGCAGGCAGGCGGTACAGGCACGGCGTTAGCAGGTAAGGCAGAACGCAGAGCAGTGGCGGGTCGCGCGCGGGCTGGCGGGGAGCGACGCGAGCTGCGCGGGCAGTGCGCGGGCTGTGCGCGGACCGTGTGGGCTGCGCGCGGGCTGCGCGGGCTCGATGCGGGCTGCGCGGGCTCGGCGCGGGCTGTGCGGACGGTGCGCGGGGCAGCTGCAGGCCGTGCGCGGGCCGCGCGGGCTCAGGGCGGGCTGCGCGGGCGACGTGCGGGGCGCGACGCGGCTGGCAGCAGCAGCGCGCGCAAAAAAAAAAAGCTACGCGCGCGCGCGCAGCCGAGGCGCGCGCGGGCAGCAGGCAAGGCAGACAGGCTTGCCGTTGGTGAGGTAACGTGGTAACGGGTGGGCCCTTAAGCTTAGGTCCTAAGAACCTGCTCTAGATGCCATGTTAGAATACTAGGTAAGAGTGAATCGACTATCGAAAGGGTTGGTACAAGCAAGCACCCCCATCCACCCCTCACTCCGCACCGCACAACGCGTGGGGCTCATGGCACTGCTATTTCCACCGCCTCACCTCGCCCGCCTGCCAGGCCGCTGCCCATGCGGCACTCGCACGCCCTGCCACGGGTGGGGGAGGGCCGCAAGTGAAAGGGCTGGGAAGCTCAGAGGGGGACGCAGGGGGGGCGGAGGGGTCAGAGGGTGGGGAGGGCGTGGCTGGGGGGTGCAGGCTGCTGGCGGAGGTGGGCAGTGCGGCGGCGCCAGAGGCGCGTGTGGTGTGCGCCACCACCCATGTGCGGGTGCATGCAGAGGTGCAGTGCGGTGATGGCGAGGCAGGCACAGGGCTGGGTGGACAGCATCCTGCTGAAGCTGCTGCCTCGTGAGTGATGTCAAGTGATGTGATGTGATGCGATGTGATGTGATGTGATGTGATGTCATGTCATGTCATGTCATGTGATGTGATGTGATGTGATGTCATGTCATGTGATGTCATGTGATGTCATGTGATGTCATGTGATGTGATGTGATGTGATGTGATGTCATGTCATGTCATGTCATATGATGTGATGTGATGTGATGTAATTGTGATGTCCTGTGATGTGATGTGATGTGATGTCATGTCATGTCATGTCATGTGATGTCATGTGATGTCATGTGATGTGATGTGATGTGATGTGATGTGATGTGATGTGATGTGATGTGATGTGATATCATGTGATGTGATGTCATGTGATGTCAAGTGATTTGCCTCGTTGTGATGCTATGCACTGTGATTTGATGTGATGTGATGGGATGGGATGTGTTGGGATGGAATGCGATGCGATGGGATGGGATGGGATGGGATGGGATGGGATGGGATGGGATGGGATGGGATATGGGATGGGGATGGGATGGGATGGGATGGGATAAGATGGGATGGGGATGGGATGGGATGGGATAAGATGGGATGGGGATGGGATGGGATGGGATGGGATGGGATGGGATGGGAAGAGATGGGATGGATTGTGATGCAATGTGATGTGATGTGATGTGATGTGATGTGATGTGATGTGATGAGATGTGATGTGATGTGATGTGATGTGATGTGATGGGATGCGATGCGATGGGATGTGATGTGACCGATTGCGTGTGTGAGTTGACTATTGAGTCGACTCAAAAGCCAATTGCGTGTGTGATGTGTGATAGGATCCATGGCAACGACGAGCATGGGGATGACAACCCGCACTGCACTTGTCCAAACTGCTCTCCTTTCCCTGCCACACTTACCCGTTTCTCTACGTCCCCTCCAACCCCGCCCCTCTTCTATCTCTCCCTCCATCTCACTCTCTTGTCTACCGCCCCTCCAACCCTCCACTGGTGTAGCGCCGTGAGCAGGCTGCTGGGCGGAGCATGGCAGCAGGTGGTCGTGCGGGGGGAGCGGAGGGGTGCAGAGCGGTGTATGGAGAAACATCAGAAGGTGCCAACTTGCCACCAAGCCACCATTTTCCATGCCACCGTTTCAACATGCCAAAATTTCACCATGCCACCATGCCGTCCATGCCACCATGCCACCATGCCACCATGCCACCATGCCACCATGCCACCATGCCACCATGCCACCATGCCACCATGCCACCATGCCACCATGCCACCATGCCACCATGCCACGCATAGAGCCATCACAGTGCTGCATCGAACCGTGATATGTCATACATGCTTGCCCTGTTCCTCCACCATCTCTTTTCCAATCGTAGCACCCCCTTCTGCCTCTCTCATCCCTCTGCTCTGCTCGTCCCCTCCTCCACCCCCCCACATGCAGTTAGCGTGGGCTCTTCTTCATGCATCTCCTTCCACCCACCATCCCTCTTTCAACTCTAGGGACTGCTTCACATATATCTACCATTCTGTCTTTCTCCATCGCTCCCCCTCCCCACCCCCCTCCTTCTCCCTCCCCTCCTCTTTGTGCAGGTGCAGTGGTGGCGGGCGCAGGCGCTGCGCTTCATGCTGCGCTGGCCCTCGCCGTACCTCTGCCATGTGCTCAACCGCCACCGCCACCGCGCCTACGGCATGCACGTGGCGCGCGCCATGGCCACGCACCGCGCCGAGGCCCACTCCATCCTCTCCTCGCTGCTGCTGCCGCCGCCGCCCCTGGCCGCCCGCCACCCCATTGCAGCGCGCGCCCTGCAGCAGGAGGGGCGTGAGCTGGCGGCGCTCAACTTGTCGACGCCGCACTCGGAGGAGGCGCAGATGTGGCCGGGGCTGGGCTTCCAGGGGTGCGTGGCGCGCGGGCAGGGCAACGTGATGGCGACGCAGGGCAACCCCCTAGCAGACTACTTTGGGGTCGGGCGCGAGGCGTATGTTCTGCGCCCCATCGTTGCCATGCACACGGGGCTCACGGGGAACATGGGCCGTGCGCGCAGAGGGCGAGGGGTGGAGCGGCCACCAGTGCAGCGGTTGAAGGGGAATGATCAGAGGGTGGATGAGGAGGTAGGGGGGGATTAGGCGGGAGGGAGGAGTGGGTGGGAGGAGTTGGAGGAGCGGGGGAAGAGGGAGCAGATGGCGGTGGTGGCGAGTGTGTTCCACGCATACGGCCTCTGGCAGCACGACCCTGACCTCAAGCACGTGTGGCTCACCACCCCCTCGCAGGTGTGCGCGGGTATGAGCGCATGTGGTGCAATGAGGCATAGCGCTGTGTGGCCCTACGAGACATAGGGGTGTGTGGTGCGAGGGGGAGAAAGGCCATGTGGTGCGAGGAGCAGAGGTCCAAGTGCCGCACATATACGCTACTCCTTCCCAGCCAACAGTGACATTGTTTCATCACACACCCTCCCCGTCTGCCCTGTCTCCCCCTCTCCCACCCCCCTGTGGGCCCCTCAGGCCACGCAGACACACTTGGCAGCCTTTGATGACTGGACCTTCCTCAACTCCCTGCACGACAGCTACGGCCAATCAGCGGCTGCCAGCATGGCAGGCGTGGTGGGGTCACAGCTGGCGAGTGTGCTAATCGCAGCGGATTCGGATTATCTTTTGGGGCCAGTGGCCTCGCAGCTTACCCGCCTCATCCTCGCCTTGAGGGCCACCAATGGCCGACTTGCTGCACCTGCGGTTCTGCTGAAATACATAAGGGCTGGGAGCACCGGTTTGACTATTACTATTGTTGATATTATTGTATCCAGTATCACAATCACGAGTGCATCTGAGAGAGCAAAGATTGCTCTATGGAGGCAAGGGTCATGTACGAGAAAAGTTGTGAGCAAATAAAATGTAGCGAAGCAATTGTAACAGAAATGCGCAAATTAGTGGGGTGCTATAAGAGCCTTGTTGGAATTATGGTGCATTCGGGTTACTCCAATCAGCATATAAGTAGTGTTGGATCTACACTTTAATAGTGGAGAATACATTTGTTGGGTTGGGAGAACTTGCGGTATAAGTAGTGTTGGATCTACACTTTAATAGTGGAGAATACATTTGTTGGGTTGGGAGAACTTGCGGTGTACACATTATAGAGTGTACCACCTCCCAAACCCTACAGGTTAAGGTTATCTTTTGTTTGAACTCACTTCTTGTAAACTCTCTTGGTTCTAGCTTGGTTCATGCCCAAATTGACTCCAAAGATTCATAGGCCTAGGAGGAGGTTCCAAGTAGGGTTCTCGTTATCAGCGTAATTTACCCTTCTACACTAATTATAGGGGTGAAATTTTGGGCTGACACTGATGTGTTGGGTAATTTTTTAAAGGATTATTATTACATTGATATCTCAGTGTACCGCTGTAGGCCACACTGTTGCATTGGGGTAACTTTTCCATTAGCAAAGATTACGCTGATGATCACCAGACACAAGTGCCTTGGTGAAAATATCAGCAGTGTTGGCCCGTGAGGCCACGAAATCAAGACGAAGCTGACCACGCTGCTGCAACTCTCGTGCGAGGAAGTAACACAGAGCGACATGCTTCATTCTGTGCTCTAGTTTGTGCTCTACACAAGGCAATCATGGCCTTGTTGTCGACGCACATAATTGGAGGAGAACGAGGCTGCTCTCCCAAGTCGGTCAGCAGGTAGGTCAGCCACTGTAACTCCTATGCAGCCATGGCCCCGCGTAGATCTCAGGCTCACAACTGGAGTTGAGAACAGAAGACGAGCGGGTAGACCTCCAAGAAACT